GGGCGGCCCCATCGCTGGTTCAAGGCCAGGTTGGACACAGGGGCTTGGAGCAAAGTGCTCTTGTGGAAGGTGTCCCTACTGGAACTGGCTGAGCTTTAAAAACCATTCCATGATCCTATGGTACCTGTTCTTTGTCACCTCTGGGATACACTAGAGGTTCTTTGGGGAAGGAATCCCCTGTTTCTCTATTATACGCTCCCTTGGATAACATTAAATGCAGCCGGAAGGAATAACAACTCTTCCAGAGAGGATTTCTGGGCTGCTTCTGACCTTCCCAATCTCAAACCCTGCAGATCCAGGCAACAAACCCGTGTCTCATGCTCGCTCCATGGAGCAAACAGACGCAGGAGAAACCTGTGGGCAAAGGGAGTTGTTTCCTGACACAGCTCCAAGGAGCACTCTCGGGTTACTGTAACTCAATCTCACCTCTTGCACTTGAGGAGGTGGAACTGGTACAGGTGACTGCAGAACCTGTTCCTGGAGGAGCCGTGCCAGGTTCACCTTTGTGTAGCAGAAACAAACAGGGTGGGGGGGGAAGGGGTGAAAAGCAGCATTTATAATGTTATCAAGTGATACCTGTGGGTCAGGTTGGTGTCCCTTCTACTTCTGTTACTGTCACGTCCTTATGACTGGGGTGGAAGTACCATTGTCTGCTCTTTTCTGCTTTTATTTCACTCTGAGGGGAGCTGGATGCTCTTCCTGGTGGGCTCAGGCTGTGCTTTTAGCAGCTGAAGTGAACACCTCCTTCCAGGAGGTTCTCCTTCGGGCAAGACTCCTGCTGTCTGAGGGCACAGTCCTTCCCAGCCGAGCCTCTTGGTCTCCAAAACAAAATACAGCACGAACATGAACCCCCTTTTCTTTCTCCTTAACAGGAGGAGTCTCGTATCCTCAGGGTGAAGGTGGTTTCTGGCATTGACCTGGCGAAAAAGGACATCTTTGGAGCCAGGTAGGTGGTGTCCATTGACTCCTTTATGCGTTGGGGCAGAGCAGGGATGCTCTGGAATGATCCACTCATAGACGTGATGTGAGTTCCTGTTACTTGGTCACAGGCAGTTAGGGACTGCGGGTGGACTTCAAGCAGTGGCTGCCCATGCCCTGTCCCACCACGGGAAGCCCTTCCCCAGCTGCCTTGGTTCTACAAGCGGGTGAGGAGCTCACTTTGGCAGTGTTGAAAACGACCCCTCCACCTCCCCACATGGCCACACAGTGCAGGACCGAGCAGCAGCAGTGCCAGGCTGGGAGCTGTCCTGCTCTTGGGCAGGGGTTTCTCTTCCCAAAGGTTAGCTCAGGCCTGACACTCCTGCTCTGTCTCAAGTGGGAGGAAATGCTTCGAGCTACTGAAGTGCTTTCGATCCGTTTGCAATCCGTGGTATCCAATTTAGCTGTTACTGAAAGCACTCATTTCTTAATGCTGGAATGAGCTCCCTGTGGATCTTCCCTTCGTGCTGCTTCCCAACTGGTCATTAGCTTGAAGCAGCAATTAAAAGTTTAATCAACTTTAATTTGGGGGTTGGGGGGGGAGAATTGGCACCAAAGCAGTGCATTTGGCAACAGAACTATGTGCAGAGTATGGCAGCACAAAGCCTTTTTGTTTCGCTCCCCACATTTGCTGCTTTGAAGAGCAGCTTTTGATGCTGACCCAAAGCAGGGAAAGAAGCAGCTTGGATGTAGGTGGAGTTGGACACGTAGTGCTTGCTGAGGAGATGCAGGTAGTACTACTGCGAGTAGCATCGCTGGGTTACACTATGGGCTACTACTGCTTGCTCGCAGGTGGCAGTTGGGTTTGGATGCTGCAGTGCCAGAATAAAAGGAGGAGGAGCAAATCCTAGAGGAGAGATGGAAGGAATCTTCTGAGGGTTCATTTGGTTTGCTGGAGGATCCACTGGCATCTTCCTAATGTAGCTGTGGGGTGTGTTATGTGGGAGCTATCCCCTAACAGCTCTGGTGAGGATCAGTGTGGAGTAATGTTGAAGTCCCATTTGGGGTGCATGTTAAGTTTGACCTAAGCAAGAGGATAAGGAGAACTGAGGGGTGTTAAACTCTACGTGGAGTATTTTACTCTGTAGTGCATGTTCAGCATCCCTAACAACCAGCAATAACTAATCCTGTGTGTGTTTTCCCCCTTGGTGTGGATGCAGACCCTGATTGTGTCCCTTTCCCATCAATAGTTTCCATGCGATCCATGATGTCCCATCCCTAGCAGTGTCCAAGGCCAGGTTGGATGGGGCTTGGAGCAACCTGGGCTAGGGGAAGGTGTCCCTCTTGGAACTGGGTGAGCTTTAAGGTCCCTCCAGCCCAAACCATTCCATGATTCCATGACTTGGGGTTTGATCTGGCTTATTTCCACTTTGAACCAAGAGGAGTAAGTGAAGTGCAGCTCATTGCTGGTGGCACTGGGGTGGCTCTTGGGTTGTCTGCTGGAGCTTCTGCTCTGCTGCTTTCACCTTCTAAAGCATGGAGTAAGTGGCCCTTGTGGCTGGCTGGAAGGTGAAGAAGGCAAAGTGCCTTCTGGTTCAGGGTTTGCATTAGCAGGAAGCTGCACTTGGAATGACGTGAGAGCATATTATGGGTTGCCTCTGGGCTTATTGCTTATACCTGCTCTTTCCCAAGGAGCCTGCGAGGCACCAGCCTCCTGTGGTCCCGTTTCCTGCCTCCGAGGCTGGCGCTGCAGCAGCAGTGCTGGACTCAGAGGCTCCAGGCTGCTGGGGGTGTCTTCAGTCAACTCTGTGCTCCTGGGGAGAACAGGGCTGCTGGGAATGGGGCTCGATCCTCTCATCCATGTGCCTTCTCTTACTGTGGATTGGCAGGGGAAGGAGGGAACGTGTGATGGTGAATGTGCCTTGCAGATGACAGGGAGAGCAGATGGTTACCTTCTAGCTGGGCCACTGTGGCTATTTCTAGTGTAATTATGGTGTATCCTAACTAATACCAGCACCAGAGGGACGTGGAGCTGCTGGAGCGAGGCCAGAGGAGGCCCCGGAGCTGCTGCGAGGGCTGGAGCAGCTCTGCTCTGGAGCCAGGCTGAGAGAGCTGGGCTGGGGCAGCTGGAGAAGAGAAGGCTCCTCAAGGGGACACCTTAGAGCAGCTCCAGGGCCTAAAGGGGCTCCAGGAAACCTGGAGAGGGGCTTTGGACAAGGGATGTAGGGACAGGACAAGGGCAATGGCTTGAACCTGCCAGAGGGAAGACTGAGATGGGATCCTCCCTGTGAGGGTGGTGGGGCACTGGAATGGGTTGAAAGGAGAAGCTGTGGCCGCCCCATCCCTGGTGGTGGAGTAAAGCTGGAGTATTGTGTTGCAGTGCTCCACAGAGCCACTGGGCAGGGTGGCAGCGGCTCAAATAGGAGAGAGTTCAAGTTCCTACTGTGCTGCTTTTTCCAGTTGGGAACACAAAGGTGGAAAACCACTTTGCTGCTGCTCTAAGGCTTTGAAGAATGGGATATTGAAGGCACCGAGTGCTGTGCAGAGCCACTGATCAGTCTACTCTTACCCACGCCTGCCCCATACCTCCACGTTGTAGCTGCTTCGTTTCCTCATGTCCCATGGGCTTGAGGTGAGCACCAAGTTGAATTTCACTGCAAGATCTGGACGTGCTGGAGCACAACAAAGAGTCAAACGTGACTTTCTGTTCCTGCAGGCTTGGGTGAGCACTCTCACAGGCTTTGGAGTGGGCTCCTACCACCACTGTCGTGCCTTCTGTTGGCTGATGAGTGATTCAGCACAGGATTGCATTGGGGAGAGGAGTTTGCTGGTGATACACAGTAAATGTCAGCTCCATTTGCAGTGAAGAGCTGAGAGGTTTTCTGCTAGCAGAGAAATGAGCTGGGGGAAGGGAAGGAACCCAACTGGGAGCTTCAGTAGGTCTCACCCAGGCTCTTTGGAAGGCAAAGGAGTAGGAAAGAGATGCTCAGGGGCTGACAGGAAGACGCTGCATGATGAGGATGTCCTGAAGAAGCAGTACCTCTGAGGTAGCATCTGCACCCCTTTAGGGAGCACACACAGCTTGTGCTTCCCTGTTAAACCCATGCTTAAATACAGGCTCCAAGGCAACGGGAGCAGCCTTGGGCAGATGCTGGGGTGGACTCCAGCACTGCTGTCCCCAAGGCACGTGTCCACCTCGGGTCACGGCTGCTCATGAAACCTTCGTGTTGCTTTTGCTGTCTCCAGCCCTTGCTCCTGTTGGGGCCGGCAGCAGAGGGCACCAGAGGATGTCCTCAGCTTCCCCCACCGGCTCCCTTGATGGCTTCTGGGGGAACCGACATCAGCCTCTCGTGGCTTCAACCGCGTCGGCAGGTTCTACCCGTGTATAACCCGGGGGTGCTGAGGGTGCTCCGGGTGTGCATTTCAGCAGCTCTAAATGGAGCTGAGGAGGAAAGCAGCAGGTTCAGGGGGTGTTGGGGTGCACGAGCCAGCCCTCAGCTTGCCCCCTGTGCACAGAGGGGGTTTGCGTGCAGGGGCGCTGCTGGGGGAGACCCAGCCCTGTGCTGAAGGCTCTTGAAGACCCTTTTTAACTGCTCTGTGAGTGGAATAACGTGGGTTTGATGCATTCCCCTGTAATAAAAGGGGAGGAGGTAGCATCCGTGCCACTTGGCCACTGCTGGGCCAGCCCCAGTGAAGCATGTGGCTGCCTGTCAGTGCCTAACCCCTCACGTGGTGCCTGCTCCTGCTTGGGAACAACAAGGAAGCCACCTTCTCGGAGGTGTTTGCATAACTTGGGGTTACAGGCAACTGCTGGCACACTAATGGCTGGGGAATTGACTTCGTCCCAGCCAAGCCCTGCTGCCAAGTCCCCTCCTCGCAGAGGTCAATGGGTCGAGTGCTTTGGGGCAGAGCTTGCAAGCAGGAAACCTTCCCTTGTGCTGCTTTCCTTGTGGCTGAAACGGGAGAGAAGCATCACTCACTCGTGCTGAAACTGGCTGCCCAGGGGGGAAGTGTCCCCGTAAAGGAGGACTCAGCATGGCAAAGGCACGAGTAGCTGCTCTGCTGCCCCTGACACAGCCCCACGGTGCTGGGGTGAGTTTGTTGCCCGTTTCACCCGTGGTTTGCCTTGGCTTGGTTCTCCAGGACCTTCAGTGGCTGGGTACGAGCAGACACCACTCTCTCGAGCTGGTGCTGCTGAAACACACGTTCCTGGTTGGGAATTCACATGGAGTTCGGAGACAGGATGGGTTTGGGGTTGCTTTTCAGGGCGGTAGCTGAAGATCCAGTCTCTAGTTACTGGAAATAGGGGTGACATCTAGTAGCTCAGTACCTGAAGATCAACATCAGGCTCCAGGCCAGAGGATTCCAGACCTGGAATGCAATTAGCTGATTGCTCTTATTATGTGCTTTTGAACCTGGCTAATTCCCTCACCATAGGGAATGCCACAGACTAATTACATGTTTCCTTTGCTTTCTGCCTCTTATTTTGTCCAACACCATTGTGCTCCCATCTCAGGCCTGTGTGTCTGCCCACAGCAGCCACGCAGGTGACACAGGGGCTCCTGTGCCTTGATGGGGAGCTGTGCCTGTGCTAGGGATGCTGCTGGAATTCCTGCATGGAGCTGCTCTGTTCCAGACCTCGGGTCTCACCGCAGCTGGTGGGTGTTTTCCTGCTGGAGTTTAGAACTGGAGCCATTTGGGAGTGGGAAACAGCAGAGGAAGAGTTCGGACCTAGGGGCTGATGTGTGGAGATCCTCTGTTAGGGCATCACTCTCAAAAGCCTCAAGGAAAAGCATTGGGCAGGAACAACCCAGGAAGGGAGGTGGAGTTTGGGAGATGATGCTACCTCCCTTCTTCACCCACAGGAGCTTCTCTGCAGCTCTCAAACGTGAGTCAGGATCTCTTTGAACAAAGCCTTCTTGTAGTGCAGGCTCAGGTGGGAGCCTTGCTCTGGAAACTGGAAACCAGGAGGGAGAGGTGAGGCCTGGGAAGCAGCTCTGGGATGAGGATGGAAAAGTGACATTTAAGGATGCCTGGACACAGTGGACTGCAAGTGAAGGGTAAGGTAAGGTGCTCCCTTCTTTACCACAGCACCTTGTGTGGTACAGGCAGGCAGATGGGCCCTGGAAGGCTCAGCTTGCAGCAGCAGGGATGGGGAATTCCGCCAGGGAAAGTGGCTCTTGGGATCTGATGATAGTGACTCCTTGTAACAGTGTGTTACTACCCTCCTGTTTTCATTGTAACCTTATTTAGTGTGGTGGGTTTGGGGCTTTGGCTCCACCATCCCTTTGGAGCAGGACAGGGGCAGTTGACCAGTAGCCGAGTAGAGGTTCCATCAAGGCCATGGAAAGAACTGGATTTGGGAAGAGCCTTCTCTGCCTTCAGGTTTGGGCTCAGGATTTCTGGAGGCAGAGCTGAGTCCTTCCATGGCTGTGGAACAGGCAGGCAAGGGGTAACGCAAGGGGAATGGCACAGAAGCAGCATCACCACCTGGTGCAAGACGGGGTTCCTCTGCAGCAAGGCTCTTTGCAGGGTGGTGGTTGCCTTGGTGTGACAAGCTCAGCATGTTCCTGCACAGCAAGTGCCACCAAACCTCATACCTGGGGAGGTGGCTTCAGCTTTGAAAGCTCTCTTGGAGCCGTGGAGAGCTCAGGAGTCTCATTATGCTTCTCCACCCCCTTCTTTGGGAGCTAAGAAAGAACTAACACACGTGGGGGCACTGCAGAAGGTGTTTGGAGACTGGCTTTGGGAGCAGGTTCAAGAACATCCAGCTCTGAAATGAAGTGGGTTTAAGGGATGTTTTCCATTTCAATCCCTCTTACTTTTGATTTTCAGGGTTTGAGGCCGTGCTTTCTGGTGTCTCCCCAAGCCTGAGGGATTCCAGAGGGAAAAGGAATCCTTCAGACCTCAGAATTGAATGGCCCAAACTCTCTTTGCATTAACTTGTGGTTTAGGGCGTTGTTGCATTTTATTATGACCCCACTTCAGGTTGGCTTTTGGGGTCATTCCTGTCAGTGCCCCAGGAAAGCAGAGACCCTTGTGCAGATGAAGAGGGGGTGCAAAATTACTCTTGGAGCCCCTACATGGAGCTTGATTCTGTCCATCTCCTTCATGGGCAGCCTCTTGGTCCCAGTGGCCTTACTCACACTGTGCTGCTCCTCCTCACCCATCCAGGAAGTCTGTCTCCCTTGTTTTACTCTGTAGCTTGTTTCCTACTAGGTGTATCCATGGCAGGAACTCCTGTGGTGTTACTCACCCCCTGAGCGGGCTGTACTCAGTGTGTGTTGGACACTGGGTGCTGTGAGGTGCCTGTGGGTCAGGTGTCAGTGCAGTGGAGAGAGGAGCTGTGGTTGTAGTGGGGGCCCTGGAAGCTCTGTGGCAGCGTTGGCAGCACTAAAGGCTTTTGGGTGAGGGGGTTCCTCGCCCCAACCCTGGCAGAGAATCATGGAATGGTTTGGGAACGGACCTTAAAGCTCATCCAGTTCCTTCCAGGGCCACCTTCCACTAGCCCAAGTTGCTCCAAGCCCCATCCAACCTGGCCTGGGATGGACTTCCAGATGGACAGAGGGACCAGCCTGCTCTCACCACTGACACCACTCAGCTTCAATCCAATTGGAAGTGCCTCTCCAAGCTGCCTTTCCTGTCAGCCTCCAGTGGTTCACTGCATGTACCTCTCCACTGCAGCCCCTGGCACCGCAGTGTTTAGAGCTGCTGTTGTATCCGCTGGCTCCAGGCAGGGCTCTGAGATGATGTTCCCATTCAACACCACGTCTTCTTTTGCAGTGACCCATATGTGAAGCTTTCCCTGTATGTAGCAGATGAGAACAGAGAACTCGCTCTTGTGCAGACGAAGACTATCAAGAAGGTACGTGAGCACTGCTTCCCACCCCTTGCTTTGGAACCAGGAGGAGCAGGCACGAGTGGAGAACGTACCACCACGCTTTCTGTCACTGTCAGGGCTCCAAGAGCTTTATAAAGAGCACTGACTTTGTCCTGCTTCATTCTGCTCTCCTTTGCCATCACTAGTGCTGCTCTCTGATAGGTGTCCTGCCACCCATCCCTCTGCAGTGCTGTCTGGAGTGAATCGCAGTCTTGGGTAACAAAGTACCAGTGAACTCCAGAGGCTGGGCTGAGATTCAGCCCCAGTTCACTTAGAAGCAGCATCCTGGGCACAAGGAATCCCTTGTGGCCGTGTCGGGATGCTCGGCAAAGAGCCAAGGTTCTCCCTTGCTGCTCCCAGAACCCTTTGGTGGGTGCAGAGCCAACGTGTGCTCTCAGCTCTCCTGGAAGTCCCTGCTCTGCCGGAGGATGAGGGAAGGATTTGGCATGAACCAGATTGGATGTGGCAGAGTTGGGTTTAAACTGCTCCAGCTTTGAATTGCCCCATTACTCTTTGGAGCTGTAATCTCTTGTTTTATCAAGGCATCATTTCATGCCTGAGCTCCCTGCAGATTGCAATCTAGCTGCAGGTTATTAAAAGCTTCCATTGGAGATAAGGAAGAGGAAATGACCTTTCCTTCCATTCTCTTTCCTGTTTCATTTACACTATAAACCTGTCCTTATAGTCCTAACCTTTGTCCTGGTGCTCTTCCCCCCTCATGTGGCTTTAAGTGAACCTTGAGAATGCCAAGTCTTCACGTTTGCTTTGTGTCACTTCGCAGGGATGTGCCTTTTACTCATTGAATCCTATTTATACTGAGCAGCTATTTTGGGCTCAGCTGACTCAAGTGGCCTCCTACGTTTGGTTTACTCAGTAGAGAGTTTCTAACTAACTTAATGGCAATTCCCCCCCCCAATTCTTCATGTCATGCTTTTCTCTCCCTTTTTTCCCTAAGGATTTATCACTTGCAGCAATTAGAGTGTATCAATATGTTGATTTCTCTTTCCAGACACTGAATCCAAAATGGAATGAAGAATTTTACTTCAGAGTAAGTTGCCTTTTCCTTTGCCATCATTAATACAACAGGTCCAATTACTCATTACTTACATTGAAGGTGCTCATCCTGATGCCATTGCTCTCCTGTTCCCGTAGGGAAGCAGAAATCAGCAGCAGGTTAAAGAGAAACGGGCTGTTCCTCTTCTTTACAGGAAGATCTGAGTTACTTCGTCTGCCAAATGCCACATTCCTTTCACTGGGCAATGTGTTTTTAGCAGAGCATGTTTGCTGGGCCTTGGAAATGTTAATGCCATGGCAAATAATCAGAGTTAGTTCCAAGAGCTCTGTGGAATTAGCATGGCAGGAACTAAGAAAACACAAATGGAGAGAAGGAAGATGGGAAAAGTCAGTTCTCTTGGCCTTTTACTTGCTAAAAAGGTCAAAGTAGGCCTTTCGTGGGGCTTCATTTTAATCTTGCTTAAAATGAACCCCCTGTTGGAGCTAAACCTGAGTGGCTGAACATCCTGACACTGTCTGTGTGTCCTCCCAGGTGAACCCAACCAACCATCGGCTCCTGTTTGAGGTGTTTGATGAAAACAGGCTGGTGAGTGCTCGTCCTGGTGTGCTGTGCTCGTCCTGGTGTTCGCTGCTCGTCCTGGTGTGCTCTGCTCGTCCTGGTGTGCTCTGCTCGTCCTGGTGTGCTCTGCTCGTCCTGGTGTGCTCTGCTCGTCCTGGTGTGCTCTGCTCGTCCCAGGGCTCTGGGTAACACAGCTGGTGACAGCAGCACATCTAAAGGTGGCTTTGGGGCTGCTGGTTGAGGAAGTGTGTGCAGAAGTGCAGGTAGGAGCATGGAAAGCATCTGCTCGGGGACTGATAGAGCATTAACCAACATTAAGCCACTGTTCTGAGGTGGAAACCTCAGCATGTTCTTCCTGAGGTTTCTCCACTTCAAACCAACCAAGTGCCACCCTTTAGTCACTAACAAAGCAGCTCCCTCCTCCCCTGATCCCTTCAGTGTCTCCTTCGGGTACCTTCTAATCCTTCTGCCTCCCTTTTTGGGATGTGGTTGCCAGAGCTGCCCCTTGTACTCAAGATGTGCATGGAGGAAGGTTGAAGGTGATGGCAACACTCTCTGTTAATGGTTTCAGTTCTCTGCCATGTCATGCCCAGCACATTGTTGGTGGGTTTAGTCTTCATTGTATGACGTAGTAGCTGAGGTGGAGAAGTCTACCAACATGTTCCTGCTGCTTGCTTGTGCTGTGACTAACTACATAAGGTTTACACACAGAGACCCATGGAATAGGTGGCAGTGGGGTTTGTCTTGGGAAACTAACACCCTCTCCTTGGTTATGAGAGCAGGTGTTAACGTTCTCTTGGCTGGGTGCAGTACAACCTCTAGTAAACTTGGTTGCTTTGTGAAGGTCAGGAGCGGTGTGGTGAAGATCCTTTATATCTGCCTTCAAAAATACAGGAAGACAGAGGAAAGGAGTATTAAATGGAGCAGCAAAACCTGTTCTCTTGTGGGGAAGAGGAGGACTTCAGCCTTTGGGATGGCGGGAGCAGGTTGGTGTGAGGACAACGTGGAACCCATGGACTGGTCTGCAGAGGGCAGTGGTAGCCACAGGGATGTCCTGGTGTGGTGGCAGTGGGCTGGCAGCTGAGAAGTGCCAGGTTTGGTTCACTTTCTTGTTCTCCCTGTGGTCCTGCTCCTGTAGGCTCTGCCCCTGGGCTCGTGTCTCCTTGCCAAGTGATCCAGGAGCCATTGCTTTCCTTTGGGAAGGTGTTTGGAGCTCCTGGCACAGATGAGCCACTGGCACAGGTCACCCCATCCCTGGCAGTGCCCAAGGCCAGGTTGGAGCAACCTGCTCAAGTGGAAGGTGGCCGTGAAGGTTGGAACTGGATGAGCTTTAAGGTCCTTTCCAACCCAAACCATTCCATGGATGAGGCATTGAGCTGGTTGTCTTGGCTTCACTCTGGAATGCTCATTGTCAGTACTTGGTGTGGTTTTCATCACAAGAACTTTGGTTCTTCTTCCCATTCCCAACGAACCAAGGCACTCTCAGCCTTCGCAGTCCATCTGCATGATCAGATAGAGACCGTATGATGCACAGAGGGTCTGTGTCCTTGGATTTCTGTGGGAAATAGGAGAAACTACTCCCAGCACCTGTGCTGCTGCAAGGGAATACCACAGTGCTGCTGCTGTGGGGAAGCCAGTCATGCTTCTCTTCTTGGTGGCTCATAATCCACCTCGCACAATGGGGGATTGTGCTGGCTCTTGGCAGCTCCATGGACCTTTGGGCTCCCATTTCTCCAGTGACTGGTCATCTGCTGGCATTGGAAAACAAGCTGCTTCCAAAGGGAGGCTGGAATGTGGACACGGAGGCTGAGCCTCCACCTTAAAGCCTCAGAGCTGCTGGCAAAGCTCACGCTTGGGGAGCGAGCACTGAAATGAAGCCCCACTCGGAGCACGGAGTTTGTGTGTCGTGACAGAGCGGGGGGGGGTTGGTGTAGGCTTGGTGTGGGGCTTGGTGCCTGTTCCGTGCCGGCCGTCGCAGCCCTGCTTCCCTCCCTGAATTCCCCACTGGAACCAGGCCAGGAGCGGGCAGAGTTCCTGCACCCTGTTAAAGACAAATGAGAACAGCCCAACGTGCACCGCCCGTCTCTGCATTGCCCTGGGAAACCTGGAAAAGACCCTTCTTCTCCTGCCATCTGGCCTGTTTCGGAGTGAGGAAGCTTTGCCACGCATCCCAGCGTGCTCTTGGCTGGAATTCTGCAGGATGAAAGGCTGCTGGAGGTTGTGGTGCATTCACAGGGGCACTGGAGAAGCTGTGGCTGTTTAGAGGCAAGACGCGCGTTGCTCAGTCACGTTGGGAGCGCGGTGCAAATTGAAAGCAGAACCCTGCTCCGTTTCCTCCTGCTCTCCTAATCCCGAAACGTGGAGCTTGGAGGGACTTTTCCTCATCTGCGTGTGGAGCTCGCGGGAAAGGCTCCGGTTTAACACGCAACTGAAGGGGTTTGGGTGTCGCTGGGCACTGGAGCGTGGGGGGTTTGGGTTTCTCGCGGTGCCGAGCGCGCT